TGCAATATTTTTTTTTTTAAATCTGAAGAAATGTTTAATAGCTTTTCCTCAAAGCTTAAATGTGAACTTCCAATGTAAGGTCTGTGTGGTGGTAAAAGCTCTGAAATACCCTTAGAAGCAAGGCTTTGGAGCACACACTGGTTTAAGGAGGGGAGTTTATCCAGGTGTGGTGGTACAGGCTGGTACCCCCAGCACTCAGAGGCAGGAGAATCAAGGCTAGCTTCAGCTGCATAGTCAGTCTCAGGACAGTGGGCTACGTGAGACCCTGTTTTAAAGGTAGAGCATGGGGCTGGGTCTTAATGGCTCTATTGGAAGGCACAGCAACTGACTTCAGGAACTGCAAGGTCCAGGGCTTCCCATGACGTCACTGCTGTCCTTTTTCTGTATTCGGCCTTTGTTGCTCTCTTGAACTCTCCTCTGCTGGTGGCATCAAGATGACCCACTTCAGCACCAGCCCTTTGCGTGTTTTCTCAACTGCTTACAGTTCCAACACGTCTCAGAGACCTGCACTGGCTCTGATCGGTTCTGGTGCACCTCTTTGCCCAGGGTGGGTGGGACATGGGGTGGAGATGAGTGTTTTCATTGACTGGGGTTGAGTCACACGGTCCCTCCTAGAGATGAAAGGGACGTGAGCTTCCTCAGGCACAGGGCAGAAGGTAGTGTGTTGCTGGAGGGCTTCTCTCCAGCTTCCACCAAGCCCCGCAGTCCCACAATCCACTTATAAAATAATCACTCAGACGCTTATAATACTTATAAACTGTATGGCCGTGGCAGGCTTCTTGCTAACTGTTCTTATATCTTAAATTAACCCATTTTTATAAATCTATACCTTGCCACGTGACTGGTGGCTTACCGGTGTCTTTACATGCTGCTTGTCCTGGCCGTGACTGCAATGTCTCTCCCTCCTTCTTCCTGTTTCCCCAATTCTCCTCTCTCTTTGTCCCGCCTATACTTCCTGTCTGGTCACTAGCCATCAGTGTTTTATTTATATAGAGTGATATCCACAGCAGTAGTGTCTCAAGGAATAGTTCTCTTAGGGAAATAGAGGCCTGTGGGTGCCAGAAGCATGACCACAAAGGACAAGCACCAGATATGTCGATATCTTAGAGAAAAATAGAAATCAAGTGACCATGGACTCCCTGCATTAGGCTGATGGGACATAAGAAAAGCCAGTTCTATGCTTATCTATGACAAGAGGACCCAGCATCTGAGAAGAGATGACTTAGTTGGTAAAATACTTGCAACGAAGGCAGGAAGACCTGAGTTTGAATCCCCAGTACCCACAAAGTAGGGCAGAGCAGCATACACCAGTTGTCCTAGTACTGGGGTGGGGGTAGAGAAGGGGAATTTATCCTTGGAGCTTGCTGGCCAGTTGGTCTAGACAAATTGCTGAGCTTCAGGTTTGATGAGGGACCTTGAAAGAAGATGGAGAATGATCAAGGAAGACGCCCTATATGAGCTTCTGCCTTCACATCTGTTGTACACAGAGAGGGAGAGAGGGCCGGGCAGAAAAGAGATAAAGCAAATCAGGAAATATTCATTCTTTTCATGCATCATACTGATTCAAGACTCATCTGAGTTGTAGTGTGTCGGGGTTTTGTTCCATTTTATAATCAAATACTACTCCATCGCTTATAAAGAGCACATTTAGTTTTCCAGCCGCCAACCAGTCAACAGACATGGTTTTGTTTTAGTTTTCTGGCTGTTGTGAATAGTGTTCCCGGGAACACAGGCACCAAAGCATTTGTGTAGTTCTTGCTTTCAGTCTCCACTGGTCCACACCTAAGCTACGATGCCATTTACATTTTGTATGGTGATGCATGCCCCATCCCTTAGATGCTCTTCTGCTACTTGGTGTGAATATTTATTCTCACCACTGACCATCCTGTTTCCCCTCCCGGTGTGTGGGCGTTTGTCTGGTTGGTCAGATGAGAAAAAGAAAAAAGATGGAGCAGACAAAATCAGAGAGTAACAAATTTGAAATCACGATCTCCAGTCATTTGGCCGCTGCTCTGTTTTCTGTTTCCATCATATGCGAAACGTTAGTGCAAGACCATGGCTCCCCTTTGCCAGGGACTTTGGCCTAAGAGCAGAAGGATGCCCCCAGAGCCAAGAAAATCCCCATGGAGACCTCTCTCTGAAAACCATGTCACCGGGGGACACTGTGAGGAGACCATTCCTAATACCATGGCCCAGGATGGGACTCCATTCATTTCAGGATTTCAGCCCAAGAAGACTCTGACTGACTGACTTTGCAGACTCTTGCTAGCTGTGAGCTCCATGCTGGACAGTCACTAGTGACGGGCCTTGAAACAGAGATGGGCCAGCCCTCCCTTCAGCCACCCAAGCCTGTATCTGGGTTTCCTTGTAATCCTGAGAGATTTCCTACACACCCAAAGCTCTGAAAGGAGACCCCATCTGGCCTGCTGTCAAGCATGAAAATTGTCCTTTTGTCCTCAGTCCACAAAGGAAGTGGGAAGGTGGGGAAGGTGGCCTTTTTTCTAAGCCTGAAAACGAATGGCTATAATTCTTTCCCTGCCCCCACCACATCTTGTACTATTTTGGGGCATCAGACATTTTTTTTTTCTAGGTCAATGTACAATGTTCAGCCTTTGCAGTGGAAAAAGTAATGACTATTAAGAGGCTTAGAAGAGACCAGGAGTGTGGCTCAGTTGTAGAGCAATTGGCTGGCATTCATAGGGTCTGTGTTCCATCTCCAGCTCTCACGAAGCCTTGGAAGAAGGTATTGAAGCACTTGAGTACAGTTCCCTTGCAGAGGCCACTTCTTTTTTATTTTTTTTTTAATTTTTTTTTATTTTACAATACCATTTAGTTCTACATATCAGCCATGGGTTCCCCTATTCTCCCCCCTCCCATCCCCTCCCCTTACCCCCAGTCCACCCCTCATTCCCACCTCCTCCAGGGCAAGTCCTCCCCCAAGGACTGCGATCAACCTGGTAGACTCAGTCCAGGGAGGTCCAGTCCCTTCCTCCCAGACTGAGCCAAGCATCCCTGCATAAGCTCCAGGTTTCAAGCAGCCAACTCATGCACTGAGCACAGGACTTGGTCCCACTGCCTAGTTGCCTCCCAAACTGATCAAGCCAATCAACTCTCTCACCTATTCAGAGGGCCTGATCCAGCTGGGGGCCCCTCAGCCTTTGGTTCATAGTTCATGTGTTTCCATTCATTTGGTTATTTTTTTTTTCAATAATTGAGTAAAACCGAA